AGTTGCCTGAGCTCTCCAAAGTCAGCCAGAGTCAGTTTATCCTAACCTCACTATGTGCGGTCTATTAGCAATTCATCCCAAGCAACACCGGAAGGCTCCTGCACTGCCACTGCAAAGAGATTAGAGATTGCAGAGGGGTGAAAGCATATCTATAAAAACTGGTTTTAAAATACAAAATATGAGTATAATAGATACAAAATATGTATTCCGTTACAGTTACTGTTTAAAAAGGTGGTATTCAGAATACAGTTACTTTGTTGAAATTAATCGATTACACAGCAGTATTTTTCTGTTTCATAAGGCTATGCCCTTTGTATTTTTAACAAAACACGCATTAAGAGGCTCTAATACCTGTGTCTCAATCTCACGGGCCATGTCACCCCTACTTGCGGCCCGCATAATGACGTGAAGAAATATTTTTAAAAATTATTCACAAAAATGATTTAATATGAAGGCAATAGGCAGAGTGTTACAGGCATAGCCCTAAAGAATGTAGCGTCATGGGCAGTGTAGCCCGTGGTCCAGGGAGAATGGACTGTCATACCTGTTATGTGTCTGTAAACGTGAGGGAAGGAGAAAAATAGTCGAAAAGTACGAGTTGTCACCGAGCAGAAACGGGAGCTGGAAGCATGTAAATACAATAATAACCACTGCAGCCAAAAAGAGGGCCTGACGAGCCAAGTTGTAAATACGCTATTAAGACTCGACCGTGTTCGTGTTTTCCTCCGAAACAATAAGTTCCGTTGGAGCAGCCTTTCAACGCCTCTCTTTGTCTCTCGCTAGCAAAGTTGACCCAGACAACAAAGTAAAGCTAGTTTTCGCCTACAAGCCCGACACGGAACCCGACGTATTAGCCAGACGTCCCTTTACGGATTTATGCCTTTACGGTTTGGAGCCGCAGACCTGTTTCATATATGCGCGGAATAGTTTTCTATACGAGATCGCTGCAAAAAGTGCCTTACCTAATGTCCACCCTACTGTTACTTATTTTATATTAAGATTTAAAAATCTAGTTGGTATTCCTATGGTTAATAACCTTCACTAAAAGTAATAAAACACACATCAATAGTACACTCACGTAGTTGTAAAAAGCATAATAATATATTAAGTAATCCAAAGTATTCAGAATACGTTACTCTCATTGAGTAATGTAACGGAATACATTACAAAATACATTTTTGGGCATGTATTCTGTATTCTGTAGAGGAATACATTTTAAAAGTAACGTTCACTGCAGATGGACAGCCGAGTCTTGTGACACTTCAAGGAAAGAGAATCAAGGAAACAGAAGACAGATAGTTTGAAAGAGGAGTGAAAGAAGCCATCTATGTCCACCTTGAACGACCATCTTTGAACAGAGGCGGTGGCTTACGACACCAACTGTCTGCCATCTATAATCCAGTTTTGAGATCCCTTCCCAGACGCTTTAACGCCCACTCACATCCTGGGCCTTCTGACCTCAGGAAATCACGTGATAGGGTGGGGCTCGGTTTCACAATGAGTTCACCTGAAACCTTGGCTAATTATGATCTACACCCGTTGTTACACCGTGGCTCGTGTGATTAGTTAGAGGATCATTAGGGGGTCAATTGTTCCTCTGGAGGGGACACTCCTATAGGGCATAAATCTGGGACTCTCCACCATTTGACCTTAGAACTGAAGAAGCTTCTCAGACGAGAGGTGGGACGTAAAAAAGTCCAGACGCTTTTCTTTCCAAACTACTTAGACTATGATGACCTGGATGACTGAGAACCTTCACAGACATATGTAAATACCATTTCCAAGGGATTAAATGTGCAGTAAATACCAATGGTCAAAATGGAAGACAGTCATTATTCACTTACAAGTCATAATATGATCATGAAGTCAGTAAAAACCAGTTATAACCAAAATAACAATTTCAGGAGTTTAGACGCAAACTTAAACATAACCCTGACAGAAAACAACGAGAAGACATCAATCTATGTGCTAATAACCTGGCTTGTTATGAAAAGTAAACTTGGATTTTGAAACAGGTTTTTTTGTAATGATTTTAAATGAAGGCTAATTTAAGACAAAAACATTTTTATGTACCTAGAATGTCTTAATGTCAGATTTTGAAAGCCGAAAAGACAAACCTCCAAAACAGAAGGTGCTTCATCTTGCTGCTTGTCTTTGCAATATCTATATCTATATATAAGTGAGAAAATATTGTAAACTTCAGTGTGAGTGGGTGATCAGTATTGACCTTCTATGGCAGAGTGACATCTTCCAAAGGTAATGGCAGAGCTATGGCTTTATTACCTTTATTGTATAAAGTGGGTGTTTATATATGATAATCTTTGATGTAAGGTGCGATGGGGCGTGGTCTGCGGTGCCACTGCAGGAGCAATGGACCCACCTGCATGGCATCTGCAATCATGCCTTGCCGGCTTGAAAATCTGCACTGGGTCCTGAGGGTTGCGTTGTTGTTGATGTGAGTCGGGCTGTGAGCTGGAAGGCTGCAGCCGACTGAGTGTGTTTGTAGCAGCCACCGGAGTTAATAAAAGATGCTGTAAAACATGTTCATCGTGTCGGCTGTGGTATGTTTACCAAAGGCTTTAAAAAGAAAGTCATCCAACTATTTTCCTCTTCTTATGCAATTCAGGGTCCTGAGGGGAGCTAGAGGCTATGCTATCTGTCATAAGGTGAGAGAAAGGCAACACCCTGAGTAGGTCGCCAGTCCATGGCAGTGCTAACACATAGAGACAAATTCCATTCATTTTTACATTTGCACCTAGAGTCAATTTAGAATGACCAGTTAACCTAAAACCCATGCATATCTTTGAAATGGGGGAGGAATTCAGAGTAGCCAGAGAGAGCTCACACAGACATGGGGAGAACATGCAAACATCACACAGAAGGGCACCAGACGGGATTCAAATCCAGGACCTTCTTTCTTTGAGGTAACCACTGCATTAACCAAAAGAAAATCATATCTGGAATATCTTGAAACAGCAATTTATAGAGATAGATATTCTTTAATCAGGAAATAAGAATGACGCTGGTGATAGCAGACAGGAGGTGGTTGAGAGCAGGCACTGTAAGCGTCATGGCAACCTTTGTACTGCCCTCTCATTTAAGCCAGATTGCATTTTGATGCTGTCACATTACTCACACCTGTTTAAAGAAAACAAATACATGATGATGAGTATGAATACCCGATATCTAGCATTTGTAATAACTTAGAAAATCTCCTGCCTCAGGTGATGCTGAAAAACTAGTTCATGCATTTATTGCTTCTAGGCTAGACTCCTAAAAACTTAAAAGGCCTTTAGCTGACCTGAAATGCTGCAACAAGACTAAAGGCTGGAAATAGAGAGCACATATTTCTCCTATATTGGCTTCTTTTCATTACCTCCCTGTCAAATCCAGAATCCTTCTCACCACTTACAAGGTCTTAAATAATCAGGCTCCATCTTCTCTTAAAAACCTCATAGTAACATTCCAAAAAGAGTACTGCAGATTTACTTTTGGTTTCTGGGATATTTAAAAGTAGAATGGGAGTTCAGAGCCTTTGGCTTTGAGGCCCTTCTTCTGTGGATCCAGTTTGGATTCAGGACAGACATTAAGGGCAGACATTTTAAGATTAGGCTCAAAATTTCAGTTTTGATAGCGCACATAATTAGAGCTGGATTGGGTGACCCTGAATCCTCCCTTATTTATGCTGCAGTTGGTATAGGCTGCTGGGGTGGCCTTCCCATAATGCCCTGAGTGTTTCTTCTTCACTCACTATGTGTTTACACACCAATCTGCATTTAATCATTAGTTATTATGAATCTCTGGCTCGTTTCCAAAGTGTGCCTTTGTTCTGTCTTGTCTTTAAGTAAAAAAGCACCTTAAAAAGAAGGCTTGGTAATACACGGAGAACAACACTGAGAACATTTCCTGCAGTGGTTAATAAACAGTAGATGGTAATTAACATATTTTGTGAATCTTTAGGACTGTTAAAAAGGCACTTAATACTGAGAATGCATTTTATGCAGCTAGTACAATACTCAAGCAACATAACATAATATTGTAAGATTTATGAATATCTAGCAAGAAAACAGAGAGTCAAAAGGCATCACAGTGCAAAAACAGGTTTAAACATATCTGGTGTTTTTTAATTGGCACATGCATTCAGATTTAGTTCAGTTTTCAAGAAAACACAAGCTGATAATGCTGTTATATTTAAATAATTATGAGACCACAATACTAAAAGACCTTCAGGCAATTGTGCACAAGTGAATAAGTATGAGAACCTAAAATTACACTTTTAGGTTCTCATACTAAGAAAACCTAAAAGTTTACTGTTGTTGTTGAGTGTTTTTCCCTCTTTTTCTGCTTCTGAGTGACAGGTGTCCAGAATTGCTGAAACACAACTCATAACACGTGAAATTACTTTCTGTATCTGACCAACACTTTAAAAAAGACAAAATTTTAAGTTTGTTATAACATAAGGCAAGAAAAAAAATTGTCAATATGAAAAGTAGTTATTAAAAAGTGCTCAGAAAAATAATAGAATGAAAAAATCATTACTTTACATTTGTAATGTTGATTAAGTAAAACGTAAAATTGAGGATCACGTAAGACTTTTACATACACGAGGAAGAAAAATCAAAAGTTGAACATTGAATCAGTGACCACCATGATATTGTTTGATAGAGTTAAATGTTGTCCTGAATTATCCAGTCAAGTAAGGGCCTAAAGAAAAGAAAACAAAAGTTATATATAAAAAATAAATAAATAAATAAAAATCATTATATAAAAATAAAAATTATATAAAAACTGCTTAAAAGTGGCCATTAACTGTTGAGTACAATCAAAACTCCACATAACATGGCAATTTAAAAAAGACCTGTTTAAAGATTAAAGATATTAAAGACAAAAGGTTGTTTCACCGCTCAGAATCTTCAAAATCTGTTAAACAGTATGTTGGCAACCAGGTTGGACTAAAGCAAACTTATCCTACATTGTCTCTTTTTAAATAAGAGTGTGATCTACTGACCAGTTGGAGTATCCACCTCATCCTCCTCAAGACCATCTAAAATCCAAAACAGTTCATGTCAGTCTTGATGCATGCTCCATCATCTACATAAGGACATCGAAAAAACATTGATTCTGTTTATTTGGACGTAGCATTTTCGAAATGTTTCTCCCACTGAAAACGTTACTTCCAGATGAACAGAATCAACTTTTTGGGAGTTCAGGTCAGTATGTATAAACACATATCACTGTGTTGTTTTGGATAGAATTATCACTGACTAATTCGTTTTTACAACATGTAATGATTTATTGATATATGAACACGTGTTAATATCTGAAACTGTATAGAAAAAAGGAGAGCACATCGTTCTTACACTTGACACCTGAGCAGGAGGAGTTGCAGCTGTTGTAGTCGTGAAATCGGTTTCCATTTCCAGAGCAACCAGTCCAAATGAATTCTTTGCATTTTTTATCACTGGAATCATAGTAGTACTTCACACAGTTGCCATTGCATCCACCTTCAGCTCTTTTTAGGAGGCAAGCTTTAGATGCTGTTCAGAGAAAATGTGCTTGTCATCGTCATCATCATCATCATCATCATCATCATCATCAAAATAGGCATAACATTTGTTTTGGTTGTTTTAGCATTTTTAATTGTCATTATATTAAAGCTTTTTATCAGAGGTAAAATTTAAACACAAATATTTTAAATACTAACACAACATGTTTGAAGGCATTCGACTTTCAGACATGTAGACATCTTAAGCCTCAGTAAACATTTACCAAAGCCTCAGGCATGCTGCCAGTAGATTTTACCAAACTTACAAACACTAAAAATTGATTCTCTGAGAACTTGAGAAGTTCATTTTTAGAACTTGGTGACATCTGACTGGTGCTTAGTGTGAACACTTTGTTCCTACAGCCTCTCGTGAAGTAATTATATGTAGAAATAGTTCATATAAAAGTCTGAAAATCTTAACAAACCACAAATGTTCCTCTCTCTCTCTATATAAGATTCTGCCTTGTCAGACAATTCATCCTCCGAAGTCCTCAGAAAATGAGGAAGTAGGACAATCACATATTTTTCATCTTGTCACATCTGCTTTTGGTGGTCATTAAAGATACATGACATACATTTGCCATCTGAAGGTTATCGGTTAAACACAATAAATTATTCAGTTATTCTTTTGTCCTTATAAATCTTACCATCCATTGGGTAGATATTCTCTGCATTGGATGAACAGTTTCTCATGCACTCTGCTTCATTTACAAAGCGGTTTGCATTTCCCCCTTCACCTTTATATATGAAAGGACTGCACTGATCTTTGGTGGAATCATAATACACAGCAAAGTTGAAGCTTGAACCATGACCTTCATCAGGAAATAAATAACACTTATCTGATGGAATAGAAAAAAATAATCTGTGAAACACATTTTATTAAGAAAATGTAAGACAGTCAATGCACAATACACTGTCTGTTTCAGCTAAAATCAGTAGATGCATTGCAGAAAACAGACTTTATAAAAGAAAGTCTTTAAATAATCTTCAACAGGCAGACAAATAGATACTGCAGGTAAGAAATCCAAAACTCTGTTTTCATTTAAAAATGATGCATTTCTATTTCAATAATACAGAATGCAATGATTTGTTTGATTTTTTTATAAAAGGTTTCTAAATTGCACATTTAAGAGGATTGGTCCTCAGTGTTAAGTAACAAAGAATGAGTGAATTAATCATCTATTTTAAAGATTTATTATTAACAAAGTCTAGAGAAAACACATGTAACTGTCCTGAATTTTGGATAGAAGTATCACTGACTAATGATTTTAGAACATGTAATGAGTTATTGATATATGAACATGTGTAAATATCTGAAACTATGTGTAGACGCAACAGAGCACACTGTTCTTACCTTTGACACCTGAACAGGTGGAGTTGCAGCTGTTGTAGTCGTGAAATCTGTTTCCATTTCCAACGCATCCGGTCCAAATGAATTCTTTGCATTTTTCCTCCCTGGAATCATAGTAGTACTTCACACAGTTGCCATTGCATCCACCTTCCGTTTGTTTTAGGAGGCAAGCTTTAGATGCTGTTCAGAGAAAATTTTGTTATCATTATCAAAATAGGTATGACTGTTGTTTTTAATCTTTTGGTTTTCCATTTTGTTAACAGATTTCACCAAACTGACAAAGTCAAAGGACATTTTATCTATATTTCTTACATTTTACATAGTTTTATAAGTAAATATAATTGTTATTGTTTTCTCTCTTTCTTTCTTTCGTTTTTTAAATACTATAGTTAGTTCCTATACAGGCATTACCCAAAGTGGGGGAGAAAGAGCAAAACCACAAACCAAAACCACTGTAAGCCTACTAAGACCATTACACTGAGTTATAATATTACCAACAACCAAAGAGAAATCAGTGTACTGCTCACCTGTCAATGGGGTCATGAAAAGAGAAGAAGAAAGACCTTTTTAGATACATATACTGATTGTCCATTAAAATAAATAATCTAGATACA